GGCTGCCACTGCCGCCCAGCGGCTCTTCCCATCCTTCTCAGGCTAGAGGAGGGGGGAGCCTTGCTAGCTGGGCTGTGCAAAAGAGCCTTCTCAGGACCACCGGAATTGGAAAGGCAGGATTATCCAGTGTCAGCTAAGAGCAGGGCAAAAAGAATCTGAAAAAGGAAATCCTCAGTGAGGGCAAAAAGAGATAAGGCACTGTTAAAAACAGGCACTCCAAGGAAAAAGACTGGCAAAAAAAGAATGCCTGCAGGTAGGGGGTAGAGGAGGGAGTGAGAAGTTATAAGAAAAGAGGACCTTAGGACAGAGAAACCAAACCCTTTAACTGCTGGAAGAAAAAGGACTCCAAAGCTCTGAAGGCAGAAAGAAGCTTCACCCCAGGAAGCTGTTCCTGTGATTAGGGAATACTGATCCTCCATTGTCAATTACCTGCTATCTGATAAGATGTGTACTCACACTTAAGTTTAACTGAGTCAATATCGTTATAGTATCTTCTCTACCCGGTCACCAGTGTAAGGGAGAAAAAGTGTAGGAACGTAATCATCTGTCAAATGTTGATAAAATTGCTAAGTTTATTAGGACGATCAAGCGAACACACACAAAGGTATAGCGCAATTATATAAGCATTTGTCCTGAGAAAGTGAACAAAATTGAGTGGAAATACAAAGGAAATTAAGAAAAATGTAAAATATTTCAAAAGTACTTATAAGAAGTTTACCTATGTTATCACCCAACTTCACAGATAAGACAAATAATGTTTATGTTTCCTCTGCTGAATGGCAGAGGACATCACTGGCCTAGAACACATGGCTGGATGGAGACTTGAGACACCAGCATATGGACAGATAGAGAAGAGGAGCTCAGATCTTCAGTTGCACTGGAAAAATGACTAAGATTTTTTCAAGCTGGCAGTTCATATATTTGCACGGGGGCAGGGGGGGAAGGGGAAGAGAGAACTGAGGCTTTGCTACAAGGTGGTGTTCTAGCAGAGCATAATTTGTCACTGGCAAATTATTCTTATCCTGAAATTCAGACAAATGCTAGTTAGCTATAGCTATTCTGCATACTGCTTTATTTTGAGCTACTCTGTTTTTTTTTAATTTTTTAATGTGAATGTTTGCTTGTATTCTAATCATTTTTTTAACCAATTGACCTGTTCAGTCCTGATTGAGAGAGGAAGAAAAGTTAAGGATAATCAAGTTTCTAATGTGAAATTAGGTAGCAGGTAGAGGACAAAGTTCCCAGGCATACACTCCCCTTGGTAAAGGCTGTAGTATGAGATCAACCCTCTGCTAGGCCCTCAGGGCCCCGACAGTCATCCTGCAAAAACCCTGACAGCAAACTATTCAATCAGTTAAACAAAATAATTGTGGGTTATCACAAGGAGACTGTTACACTTTATGTTGACCCCTCAGGCCCTGCTCCACATCTGTGACCCTACTTCAGTGTGTTATAAACCTTCTCATGAAATACAAGATCCTGGGAATCAAGATTCCTGTGGCATATTTCCCTGACAAGAAAGTCAGCATGTCTAACCCTTCAATTAACCACAGCAGAAGCTTGACTTATATTTCTACCTAGAAACGCAAAGTCTAGCAGAAATATTTAAAGCAAACTGGAAGAGATAAATCTGAAAACCTGGCTGAAATCTATTGTAGGGACTGCAAGGTATTCACCAGAGAAAATCCTCATCCGTAGATGTGAGATGCAGGCAAGAACAACTGGACTGCCAAACACATGCAAGCCAAAAGGAACTGAGTTTGCATTATTAGTTTCACTTAAAAGATGAGTCCTGGGTTTGTAAAGCCATGAAAATCACAAAGTTTTACCTGTTCTCTTCTTCCTGTTTCCATCCTGTCTCCACAAACAGACTTCTATCGTGGAAAAAAGCTGACTGATGTTTATTTTCCGGTACAAATATCTTAAATAGAAAGACAGTTACACATTATATTCTTGAAAGAACATAACTTTAAGAAGGATTGTTATTTATAAGTCCCAGTAAATTCCTTAGAAAATATGATCTTGAAAAAAAAAAAATCAAGGATTTGCTGTTAATGATAGGATTTTTGTGAGTCTCTAGCACAAGACTGATTTCACCCTTCATTTAGAAAAAAGCTGTTTAACATATACAATGCTATGTTACTACTATACCTGAGCATAGAGAAGCCATTCCTGTTCTCCTCGAGCAGCAGAAGGGTATGAGGCCAAATCCACAGGTTTGGAGGTTTGTTAAGTTAATAAAAAATACATATGATTCATCTTTAAAGAGTAGGTATCTGTTTTAAACATACTTGGTAGTATAAATATGGTAGTACAATATGTAAAAGAAAACCTCTCTGCCACATGTACAAGTGATTTTAAAATTTTTTTTTATCTATAAAATAAAATTCTTTTCCTAGTATGGCTGCTACCCTCCATTCTCCACATTCAGATCACATACCCGACAACCCTTGAGAGAATTGTAAAGAGAAAACCAGTTGATTATTTTGTGGATAAAAACCTACTACTTAAAGAAATACTGAGTTGATCCAGATCTGAAACAAGACTGACCCCTAGTGCTTATCTATTTATTCGCTAGGTGTTTTCTGTTGGACAGACAAAAATGACTCTTCTTCAGGGAGGGTGCTATTTGATCTACTTCTACTTGATGGTACGCCATTTGTCCTTCATAAATAATTACTGTTGCTTGAGATAATTAAATATTTGTTTAAAAAGCCCAAACACAAATAGGTGTTAAACACCTCATGTTCCTAGAGTGCACAGTTAAACCTTTCTGCCCACATTTTTGAATTCTCTCGGTAAGTCTGTAATTAATATGCGCGCAGAATGTTTCCGCTCGACGAATCGTCTGGTGCTGCGTTTCGATGTAGTCATTCCCACCCGTACAAACTCGGCACAAAATACCGGTTCCCGTCTCACAGTGAGGCATCTGAAACTAACAAGGTTCTGGAGTTTGAGCTCATCTGACTTTCCGCTTTTCAATGAGAGACAGAATTTCTTACTGTTCCCAAGTTAAAGGGTTTTTGGGAAAACAGTAGGTTCACAACAAACGCTTGAAAATTTAAGGGAAAACTTATACGAATAAAAACTTCAAACTGGAAAAACCACAGAAACGTGCATTCCAACAACTGCCTCTTCCCCATACTATCCTTCACCTCTTCAGCACCCTTTATAGGTGATAAGAAACAGTAAATTTTTCAGTAAGAAACACAGTCTGCAACCTGGATTCAGCTTCCTCACTTCACCCAGGGAACAAAGTAACTGGTTACTTAGTTAACTTAATTCCCTTCGTCACTTAATTCTCTTGCTTGTGAACTTTAAACAGCCAAAACTATTCCTCTCGATACCGTAGCTGTGAATTTTTGGTGATTTCTCAATAAACGACCACCCTCCGCAGGGCTTGTACTATTTTCGGACGGAGGCCGGCCTCCGTCTGCGTGCTACCCCATTCACCCTGGTGTAAGGCTCCAGTTTACAAAAAGCAACTGGTGTGGTGTCTTCCAGACGACCGTGTTTGGCGAGGGCTTCGTGAGAGCGGCGGAGGGCAGCCCCAAGCCGGCAGACTCATTGC